TCAACCACTCAAACTTGGCTAAACCATAGAAACTAGCCCTAACAAGGAGATCTAAGCATATAATAAGCAATGTTGATACTTTATACACGAAAAATGATGGAAATGGAGCAAGGAATTGAGATCTGCAAGCTCCTTCTTAAATCCCCACCTTACACTAAGATCCTATTCCTTCAATAAGCTTCAAACACCCCAAAAAGCACTTAAAATGGGCTCATAACACTCAAAGAGGCTCTAGGGTTTCGAGATTAGGGTAAGGGAAATGGAGGATGGAAATGAGGCCAAAACCTAGGACTTAAGGTGTTTAAATATGGTGCAAAACCCTGAAATTAGGGTTTCTCAAATAACGTCCAACTCGTCGAGTTGGCCTTCACCAACTCGTCGAGTTGATCCTCAAAATGCGCGTGCCAAAGACCTCCAACACGTCGAGTTTCCTTTCCTAAACTCGACGAGTTGGCCTTTAGCAAGGATGATTTATTTCCATAATTATCTTCTAGATTATGGGCGTTACATCTCCTCTACTTCACTCGATGAACTTTATGCTCATTTGATCTTTATTTTTTCTCTGTCTCATCCCATAGGACGAGTTGGAACTTCATATGGCTCATCATTCTTGAGGTCAATCCATCCGATACATGCATCGGGAGATTGACTGTGGGTTGACTCCGAAGTTTGCTTTGTTTAGACATCCCCGCGTAACCATCGGGACTTTTTAGATCTAGCGATTTTCGATTGCCCTTCACAACTCCCCAAAACGACTCATTGGTAAAAGCTCTTCTGAATTTCGCCTTGTAAATCATACAGACTTTAGCCATGACATCCACTTCATTTGCACCGCTTTGGGGTTATGGATCGTGTTCAGGTAGATGCCGTTGAACTCCATTGCGGATCGGTTGGCGGTCCTCTATTTTGAGTAAAGTGAATCGGGATTGTGGTACTTCCTTTTCACGCGTTGACAAAAATTAAGCCAAACTTTTGCATTGAAGGTTGTTGAGTCTTCGTTGTTATTGTGGATCAGGTCCTCCGACATAGCCATGATTGCTCTAGGGCCTTCACTTCATCATCCGTCCACCGTCTACACGAAGCCCTCCATTTTCCTTTTTTTGTACTTGTGTTTCGACTTTAGGCTCTTGAAATGACTCTTGAACGGGATCTTCAACGTGGCCTTCTTCGAAACAATCGATTGAATCATCGAGTAGGCGGTGTGGTTGGGATTGAAAATTACTTTACCGTTGAGGTTAAGAAAAGAATTGAGTTTCTTGAACCGTTTCAAACGGATCAAGATTGACATTAGGACGAGGTGTTGGTTGATATTGGTTGTGGCAAAATACCATTGGTTTTGAAAAGAACGGATTGAATGAAAACATTTTCGGAGCCACTGTAGGAAAGCTGTAGCTAGCAGTAGAGTGAATAGGTCGATCAAATGATAGTCGATAACATGGTGGTAATGGAAGGGTTGGGGATGGAAGGATTGGTGATTGAGTGTTTGAAGGTTTGAAGCTTCCTTTTTGTTAGCTCTTGGGGTTTTCTTTGTTTGAGATGAAGACATTTTTCTTTGGTGAATTGAAAGAGTTTGTGAGAGAGATAATGATATTTTGTGTGTGTAAAATGTGAGAGCATGATTTGATTTATAGTAGTTGAATGATACTTGAAAATTTTGATTTTTATTATATAGAAATATTTTTTTTATCATTTGAAGAAGTTGGTGGAAATTAAAAGTAAAATTAAATTGAGTAGTCAAAGGCAATTAAATTGGATGGTCAAAGGAAGGTGGAATATTTTTGGTAAAATGAAATTGAATTCAACCAATAAAAAGTTGGTGGAAAATTAGTTTGGGAATTTAAGTTTGGGATTTGAAATCATTAAAAAGGTTTTTTTTTAAATAAAATGTGAGAAGTTGGTGGAAATTTATTTGGCAATTTAAGTTTTGGCATTCAAAATCAGTCAACCATTTTAGCAATCCAGTCTAATACACTCGGACCAATCACAGCCCCCCAATCCTTTCTCTTTCCTCGCGCCAAACAGCTAACGAATTGGGCATAACGAGCCCCCTGGCGAGCACTAGGGAGCGGTATTCTCTTCTTCGTAGCGAGCATAACGAACGGCTAGCGACCGGCCACTCCATTCAGCCTAAGCACGACACAAAATTAAAAGGAATTGAACCAAAATAAAATGAACCTCCACCACCAGTGCCATCAATTAACACCCTAAATCTACTTAGAATTAGGGCAAATCGACGGAAAAAAAAGAAGAAGAGGAGAATACATTCGTATTTACCGTTGCCAATATCTAATTAGAAAAAACACAAACCCTAATTCGAAATTTGCACATGGGTTTACCACGGTGGGTTTATTTCGAACGCAGAAAAAGAAGAAGGTCCATGACATCAATGCTGTTAACAAAACGAATCCCCTATTAAAAATTGTTACCCAAATCGATGTGCAGTTGGACGGAGCTTCTAAATGGCTGCGTGAGGAGGCGGAGTAGTACAACAGAGATCAAAGTAGATCGAAAACATTGGACGACAACAACTTTAGAGTTGCAATTTTCCGACGGCTCCGACAGGACAGTTGAGGTGGAGAGCGGTGGCTTTAGGTTTGAGTTTAGAGAAGAGGGAGAGATGGATTTTGAGCAGATCGTGACTTTAGAAAGGAATGGGTGGGGGTAGGGAAGGGGGTTATGTGGGATCCAAGTGTTTTAATAATATCTAAATTAAATTTCTGAAATAATTTTAAATATGAAAAAATAAAGTAAAGGTATAATAGTCTTTTTATGTCGGTAAGGGACGCAAATTGTAACAAAAGTAACTATAAGGATAGTCCAAGTGAAAAAAAAAGTTAGGGACCAACATGAAATTTACGTAAACCATAGGGACGATTTCAATAATTTGTTCAAATATTTAAGATGTATGTTCACAATAATAAAATTTATGATAATTTACACTTTTTGTCCCTCAATTTATAAAAAAAAATATATAGTTTTGTTTCAAAATAGTTTTCTTCTACAATTTTGGTGCTTATTTTCAACAAATGTAGCGATTTAGGTCCCTTAATTGGTCAAGAAACTGTATTTTCAATGTTTAATACTTGGAATTTTGGTGTTTAAAGGGACCAAACTCGTTAGGACAAATGGAAATAGGTACCAAAATTGCAAGTTGAAACTACTTAGGACCAAAATTGATATTTTGGAACAATTTCACCAACAACTAACTTAATTACTCTAAACTTTAAAAAGCAGCGAGACAAACGAGGGGCGGAACATGATCAATAGAAGTGAGGGGGCCAAAACCATATTCAAAACTTTTAATCATATTGATAAAAGCCATTCAAGGTTTTTATAGTCTTTTACACCGAACAATTTTGTTTTCTAATGTACGTTTATACCAAATTTAGATCGTACGTATATACCAAAATTAGATCGAGCAGTATTAATTGTACTAAAGCAGTTTCAGAGGTTTACTTGATCTTGATTTTTTGACTCACTACAAAATAATAATAGATTTATTAGTATATTAAGTTGGATGTTTCAATATATTTTTGGAACTAGTTTTGTATAGACCACATATAAAAATAAAATAAACGATTGTTTTTATTCATTTCTTATAATAATTATCAAAGGCATTAGATTTATATTAAAAATATAAAAATAAAATAACCGATTGTTTTTATTCATTTCTTATAATAATTATCAAAGGCATTAGATTTATATTAAAAATATATTATATGAACATCCCTATTTAAAGAAAAAATATTTTACGTCAAATTTTGCTTCAACATCATATATATGAGACTAGTGTAGGTAAAAATATATATATTTTTTATTTTGTCTAACATCTTCGTGATCTAAATTATAAAAAGGCTTACATGGTATATGAAAATTAGAATTGTATCTCCTCCTTGATTTGGAAGCTCATCAATAAAGACTTTAGTACAAAATATTTATAATACTATTTAGTCACAGCATGTCAAAGTTAAATTGTGATATTTAGTGGAGCAAAAAGTTGGGGGGCCATGGCCTATTTTAGTCTATCTAAGAGTTTCGAGATTATATCTTTAGGTACTTGTATGATATTTTATAATTCTAATGTGATTCTTGGTGTCCTTCGAGTGTTGCTGCTCCGGGCCCCTATTGCTATTACACTACACAATTAAAATAAAAGTTAACGCAACAGAAGAAAAACATGAAGCTTATAATGATTACCTAATGAGAATGACATATGAAAAGGATGAAACCTTAATGATGCAAAAGTTAACGCAAAAGAAGACAAAGATGAAGCTTATAATGATTTCCTAATGAGGACATATGAAAAGGAAGAAATCTTAATAATGCAAAAGAATGCCAACATGCTACACTAATGTTTAATCCATCGTTTGTTGCAAAAGAAAGTCACCAAGACCAGTCTTACAACTTAGAAGTGTATTATCTAATATGGGCATATATAATTTTACTATATTTGTAGAAAAAATATGTTGTTCCGGAATAGGTGTATTGTTGATTCGTTTGTTCATGTAACAATTAGTTTTTATAATTCAACATTGTTATGAATTATTTTCATTAATGTTATTTTCATGAGATAATCTGTTAAAAAATATATATTACTCGCAAACGTCTCGGTACCAAAAAATGTATTAAATACATGTATCGTCTATATTATTGGTGGATAAAGTTTTGCACGATCTTTTTTTGTAGGTTTCTCTTAGAAGGTTTGGAACGGCCAAGTTATCACCTTATCTTTCAAATCGATAAAAAAAAAAGTCGAGCTCCCATTTTCTAAAATTTATCATAATTGTCACGTATCCAAGTATGAGCTACTAATATTGATTCCGTAGTGGTATAGTCCCATGTTTCTTTTCAAAAAAAGCCAAATATAAGGGAAATACTCATATATAAAGCAAATATTAATCTCTTTAAGTACATTGAAATATATGAATAGAATAGAAAAAGAGAAAATCCAAACAAAAACGAATTACGTACACTTATCTCATCGTAAGTAAACACTAGATCTAATAAAATAAAGCTAAAGCTATCGCCAAGAAACTGAAGGGTGCGACGGCCGTGAAAGATGGAGCAAAACTGGGTGATGGCTGTTGTAGACTGGTGCTATGTGTGGGTGGAGAAACCGGTGCGGGAGTGGCGGGTGTTGCTGTTGGTGAAGGGGTGGCAGACGTAGCGGAGACGTTGATGTTGAGTTTCTGACCAATTTGGCAATGAGTTCCAACGGTGCAGATGTAATAGTGTGTACCAGGTGCGTTCAAGGTGACTCTAGCGGGGCCGGTAGTGGAGATGGAGATGGGGTTGGCGGTGGTGCATAGGCCGTACGCCGCCTGCGGTACTTCAGCAACGTTATGGAATCCGGTGATGAAGTTAAAGAGAAGAACATCGCCGACTCTGAAGGTCTGAGTTGATGCCCAGGTGGTGTAAGCAGAAGGTCCGTTGGGAGGAATATTCCAGCCCAAGGCGTTACCGACCACATGGGTAGTTTGAGCCGCCGTGCCATGAAACTGCACAGATGCAAGCATGAGCGCCATAATCACCACCAAATTGATATTTAAACCTGACATTTTTTTGTCCTTGAAATTCTTGGAAAGTGAAATCTCAGATGAATATCAAGAAGGATTTTGAAGGTTAATTAATGGTGTTTTGATTTGTATTTATAGGGAATGGTTGTAGGGACGCGTAGTATATCAGCAACAACCACGAAAAGGAAAGACGTATTTGAAATCTAGAAGGATTTTGAAGGTTAACATTTGTATAAAAGAATTGAGACAATATTTGTCTATTTGAGAGGGTTAAGATGGGCCATGGCCCTCCCCTTTTTTTGACATGTATACCCTATTTTATATATATGATGATTTTTTTTTTTTTTTTTTTTTTTTTTTTTTTTTCTCATGTTATGGCTCCCTGGCCCCTACGTAAGTATATGTATTTATATATGTAATTTAAAAGATTATTTAGTTAAGCAGTAACTCCAAATAACAAACAAATCAATTTTATTTGATAAATTCTGCAACTATACAACCAATTAAAATATCTAACAAAACCATAAGATTGCTGAAAAAAAATCAACAACATTTCAAATAAAATTAGGTAACTAAATTTTAGAAAACAAAATCTCTAGAAAGAGATGATAAACCAATCCAATATCCAATTTACAATCTTGATCTTTGAGAAAATACAAAACCGAAATTAGAATCATCGATCTCTTTCTCTACCTAAAGAGAACTTGCTCGATGGAAACCATAAAGCACCGTTCGCGTTCACATTAGAAACCCTAGATGACTTATGTATGTTCGATCAACACTACCAGAAAACCGGGTAAATTCCTATGCCACTATTCTTAGGAATTCCGTAGGAATTGAGCATTACCGACAAAATAACTATAGCAATTCGTTTGTAGGAAAAAAACTGTGCGGGTGTATGTTATTTGATTTGTTCGGTCGGTCGGTATTTTGTCGGAAAAAACCCCATGCCCCCTCGTAACATGTGTAGCCATTTGTTTAACAAATATTAGAAAATATACTAAACATACTTTAAAAAAAACTAATAAACAATTTTATAGCATCTTATTTTTGTTTTTTCTATTATACCATTGTACTTTAAAACCATATTATCAACTAAATAAAATGATATTAGGCACTGACCTATTAAGCACCTTATAATACAAACGACATCAACTATTCATTAAGCATTCACTTACACCACACATTAAACACTTTATCACTTCATCTTACATGCACTCAAACTAATAAACCTATACATTTAACACAATCGTACATGTATACAATACATTCAATTTCAATTCCATACAATTATGCAATACATCTAAATGAGACATACAATACATGTAATACGTCTGATTCGAACTCCAATTTCGTACATGTATACAATACATCCGATTCTAGTTCCACTTTCATAAGTTTATGCAAGTCCAATTTCATAGAAATATGTACACATCTAAACACAAAATCAAATGAGACATACAATTATGCAATACATCTATGCAATTTCATACATGTATACAATACATCTACTCAAATGAGATATACAATCAAATGAGACATACAATTATGCAATTTCATACATGTATATAATACATCCAATTCCAATTCCATACAAATATGTACACACCTAAACACATAATCAAACAAATCATGCCCAATTTCATTTTCATGCCTAAACAAATAACACAAAACATAAATCTGCCCATTTTTGCCCAATTTTGCACAAATATATACACAACTAACCACAAAATCAAACAAATCATGCCCAATTTCATTTTCATGCCTAAAGAAGTAACACAAAACAAAATTCTACCTATTTTTGCCCCAAACAGAAAAAAGAAAGAAAAAAATAAGAAATCGGAATCTTACCTCAAAATGACCGGTGTAACTAGTTGTAGAGGTCGGTGGTGGTGAAGGGTTGACGATGGTGAAGGCTATGAAGGCTGCAACCGGAAATAATACCCCAAAATCGGAGGTGACAGCTGCAACCAGACAAAAAACCTCAAAACCTGAGTAAAAACCTTAACCAATCACAAAATTAGGAAGAATAGAAGGACTAAGAAGCATACCTGCTAGTTGCCGAAGATGGGGAGGGACCGGAGGAGGTTTGGTCATCGGCAGAATGAGAGAAAGAGAGAAATCTGAAGTGAAATGACGCAGTCGCCGGTCTTGATGGGGCTAAACCCTCTACCGACGACAAGTCGTCGGTATAGGGTACCCAAGACTACGTCGTTTTGTTTATTATTGAAAGAAAGAAAATAATTAAAAATAGGGAGTTGACGACAAATCAACGGGATAGCCATTTCACTCGGATTGCCAGCGTGGCATGGCGACGACGTTCCATTCGGTATAGCTCTCCTAAAACGGTATCGTTTCTCCCTTCTACACCATTGAATAAAAATAAAGGTAAAGTACATTTTTCGTGACATATACCAACGACATGTCATCGGTATACGATTTCAGAAGGCCGCGAAAAACTTTTCGTTTCCCGCCTAACCTATTCCGACGATATATCGTCGGCATACAGTTCAAGGTCAAAGAAAGTTCGTCAACTCTGTACCAACGACATGTCGTCGGGATAGCAACCATATTCCAAAATGACCTCAATTGACCAAAAAAAGTAAACCTAACTTTGGACATTTCTCTTCGCTTACGTATTAACCGAAGTAAATTTGCAAGTTCAATAACCGTTAACGCGTAAAATATATATACTAAAAATCGAGCTTTTCAATTTCAAACTACGTATGTGTGGGAAATAGAAAGTCATAGAAATGAAACCTGACCTTTTCGTTTTTGACGCGAGTACGGATATTGCCAAGTTCTTTATCACCTCCAAGGTGTTCTTGTTCTTTGTTTTGGCAATTACGGATTCTGACTTTACCAGACAACGGTGATAAAATCTTTCTCTATTAGAGGGTGTAATAAAGGGGTTTATGAGAATTAGGTTCTTGGGTATAGCAGAGGGCTTTTGAAGATGGTCGCTGTCGGCATCACCACCTTGCCTCCTTGAAGGACTATACCGCTGGAGTTAATAGAGAAATGAAATGGTGGAACAGACATCGTCAACTTGATAGTGGTCATCTTTAGAAGGCCAACGGTTGACGATGGAAGTGGATTTGAGAATCGATATGTGTGAAGTGGTTGAAGACTAACAGTGGAATCACTGATTTCTAAAGTTGGTGCAAACGGTGGAAGGAGTGAATAACATATGTGAAATGAGTTTCCAGTCGCTCGAGAGACGAGGCAGTGGAGGGATTAAACTAACCCCGCTGGAATTAAGTAACTCAAGGAACAGTACCCTGGTTAGGGTACACGGTACTGTTCCTAAGGATCTATATGCAATAATATATATATATATATATATATATATATATATATATATATATATATATATATATATATAACAACCCCACCATAAATCTCGATACGGGTGTCTTCGAGTCATATATTTCCTAGCGAGTATTGATGTTTTGTTTATTCATGATGTATCGTTCATGTTAGCCTATATATATCAGTATCCCATTTGTTTATGGGCTCTTTAGTCTTTAGCCCATTAGGGTTTTGTCTAGCTAGTATTTATATCCGCTTTATTTTTTGTAGTCTTGATGACTTTCATTGAGAACCCTTGTAATTTTTATTTATTATAATCATATGAGAATGTTATCATGGTATCAGAGAGGAGGTTTGATACATTGTTAGAAGCATTTGTGGCAGTCATCTGTGGCGCGGATGGTATTCGTTGTTGGTTGCTGTTGATTTGTTGTTGTTGTTCGATTTCTTGTTGTCCGATTGATTGCTTCCACTGGTTTGTTACTCCTCTCATTCTCAGATTTCTATACTATCATTGTGGTTATTTATTCATTGTCAACATGACTGGAAAGGATGATTCCCTTCAGTTAATCAGTACTCGTTTGGATGGAAAGAATTATACGTATTGGAGTTACGTTATGAAGAACTTCCTTCGTGGGAAGAATATGTGGGGCTATGTCACTGAGACTAAAGCCAAACCCTTAATACCTCAAACTGAGAATTTTGATTTGTTACTTGATGCTTGGGAGATTGATAACTCTAAGGTAGTTACTTGGATTAATAATTCCAAGGTAATTACTTGGATTAATAACTCTGTCACTCAGTCTATTGGCATGCAGTTAGCTAAATATGACACAACAAAGCAAGTTTGGAATCACTTGGAAAGGCTGTATACTCAGTCTAACTTTGCTAAACAATACCAGTTGGAATATGATGTTTGTGCTCTTCAACAAAATGACCAGAGCATTCAAGATTTCTATGCTGTTATGTCTGATCTGTGGGATCAATTGGCTCTTACTGAATCTAAAGAGTTAAAAGACTTTGAGCCTTACATTGCTAGGAGGGAAGAACAACGCTTGGTCCAATTTTTGTATGGCCTTGCGTTCTGATTTTGAAGGTCCACATGGAACAATTCTTCATCGCTCTCCTCTTCCCTCAGTTGATTCTATTGTCCATGAGTTAATTGCAGAAGAGACTCGTATCGAGTCTCATGTAGATAAAGGGTTTAAAGCAACCTCTATTCCTACTCCCACTCCTGCTGTGCTTGCTGTTTCCTCTAATCAGTCTCGACAACCTTCAAGGGTTGCTTATGATGAGTGTGCATTCTGCAAATAGAAAAATCATTGGAAAGCTCAGTGTCCATTGTTAGTCGGCACTGGTAAATCTGGTCAACCTCAGTCGGACAACAAAATAGGTCTGGTCAACAGAAGTTTTAGCCACGTTCCTCTGGTACTCCTCCATGGACCTCTTGTCCTCCACAGTTTGCTTCTGCTGCTATGCCACCAGTTGATATAGATTCTGTGTTGGAAACATGCCACCATCTGCATTGGATCCCAAGGTGTCTGAGTGTTTCAGACAGTAGTTGGCCTTTAATCCCACTGCCATGTTTGCATCTATGTCTCATTTTGGTCCTACTTCATCTGGTACATCAGGTATTCCCTCATCTTTGTGGATTTTAGATTCTGGTGCAACCCATCATATGACTCCTCATTTTTCATCATTTACTTCTTTGTCGCAAGTGTCATCTATTT